GATCGTGCTTGAATTCCAACGAAGTGAGCGTATTCGACGTTGTAAAAGCCGACGGTAAGCGCTAGAAGTAGCAATAACTATAACAGCTGCCTGGTGTTTGGGAAAATGAAGAAGTCTGCGGAAACAAACAAGCTGTCCATTCATTTGCGATATTTACTGAGCTTATTCGCGTACTACGAAGGAGAGCGAGTAGGAATCGAAACGCACTTTCAGCAGCAACGGCTCAGTTCGCTCTAGGACTCTACCAGGCAGTCTCTGGCCGTCGTGGGAAGCTAGTGAAACAGTTTTCTGCGTGAAAATGAAGAATAGCTCTCACTGTTGTTCGTCGAAGAACTCTCTGGCATCTAACTTCGGCTCTAAGACTGCGTAACAAACGGATAGTGAAATCATTATCGGCCGAATTGCTAAATATATAACTTCTACGAATACACGTTTTACGTCGGATTCTGATTTCTTGTGATTTTTCTGTATTTTTTTGATTTTTTTCTGGTTTATGAGTACCGTATTTTTTCGATTAAAGCCCCCCCCCCCCTTGAATAGAGCCCCATCGGAGACCTTATAGAAAACAGAGCCCACCCTTAAATAGAGCCCCACCCTCGAATAGAGCAGGGATGGGCGGAATTTTTCTGACGACCGGGACCGGGACCGGGACCGGGGCATACGGTAATTTCCGTGACTGGCCGCTGCGGAAGGCGGTTTGTATCTACGACGAAAGCAACGTTCTAGCTAGCTCAAGCGTCACCTGAAAACAGAAACTGAAACATAAAGAAGGACAAAATGGCTCGATTTAGGCAATATGAACGAGATTCTAGACTAAAATTTTACTATTTTAGTGAAAATTTGCTCGGGCAGCGCCTAGCGGCGGACCCTCAGGCCCTAGTGGAAATTCTAAAGTCAGCAAGACATCGCCGCAGGCGCCACCAGAGCAACTTTGGATATGCAAAATTGCGCTAAAGCCAGGCCTTCGTTGGTTTTGAAATGTGATTTTGTAATAGTGTTTACATGAACAGTAGGCAGCGGGCATAGTAAGGTTAAAGAACAATACAACTCCTTAGCACATTTACAAGAAATAGCCGAAATCAACAGAAATCAATCTAAATTGCGCAAAATAAGGTAAAACTGACAAAAATGGGTACAAAATGAAGTGAAAAAGTTGGCAGCAATGAGCAAAATCGAACAAAAATGGTTCGCGTCTTGTCCCGAAAATACGAAAATACCTAGTCATAAAAGCTGTTATGGGCGGGATTTTTTTGACGACCGGGACCGGGACCGGGACCTGGACCAAAACCACCGGGACTCCGGGACCGGGACCTGCCCATCCCTGGAATAGACCCCCATCACGAGTAAGCCCTGAGAAGTCGATAGCTCAGTGCCAACTGGTCCAGGCAGCACCCAGTCCGTGCGTCATGGGAGCTCTGTCCGCTGTCCTATCGCATCCTTCCAACCTCGGCAGCCGGATATTGCGTCATAGAAGAGGCGCAGCTTTTCGATCGAGCAAAAGATGGAGGCAGTCAAGCGGTTTCGCCGTTACGACAAGGTGAATGATGTCGCCAGTGCCTACAAGGTGGACCGTGCATCTGGCTCAAATGGGTTGTCAACGCCTGGGATTCCCTACCGGAAGAGCTGATCTAGGCATCCTTCAAGACGTGCGGGCTCACTACCGCCGCCGATGGCAGCGAAGGTGACATCATTCACTGTTTTAAAGCGGACGATCCAATTCCGCGCCTTTTCGAGAAGCACACTGTCAACATCGTGAAAAACTTCGCGGACATCTTGGAGCTAGCTGATGCAGACGAAGACGACGAGAATGGATACTTTAGCGACGATGGGCACGTTAAACTTTAGTTGTGTCTTTGCTGTCTTGCGGTACTTACCCACCTAGTATGCAGTAAACTGAGCTATATATGGAAAATAGAGCCCCAGGGGCTCTATTCGAAAAAATACGGTATATACTTTAGGCTCAGAAAAGAAACAGAAGAAAATCCCAGACTTTAACTTCAAGTGAGCCTGAGTCCAGTAGGCAGTTCTGAGCGTAACGGCAGCTCTGCAAACGGCGCATCTTTTGTCAGACCATGATTGCTTAGGGTGAACGCCTAGTTCAACTTATATGCTATGCGTGAGCTTTATTGTTTTCATCCATTTTCCGAGTCGAATATATGGCGCGCCTCAGGCGACTCCGCCAAAATCTGTAAATTGTGGCCAAAAACGGTGAAAATTTCCGCCTCTGCGACGCCTGTCGCCGTGTCAGCTTATCTAGTGCTAATTTCGGAAATATGTGGTTTTTTCAACCGAATCCGAACCCGAACTTCGGAAAATGTACCGAATTTCCGAATCCGAAGTTCGGTCCCATCCCTGGTACTTCTTGAAAATCGTGTTGTGGAGTATTCAACGGAGAAAGGTGCTAGAAGTATTAGCAGAACCCGCTCAGAACCTGTCGTCATCCTCCATCACAACCAAGTCGTACCCAGCCTCAGAATGAGCGTGCTCGCTGATAAGTCTAAGTAGCATTTTGAGACAATGGTCTAGATTCACGTTGAAGGCGACGGCCAATAATTTTTCCCCGCCTACCAAAACTACGGAAACCGTTTCTTGCATTCATCAGGAAGTTCCAAGTTTGTGGCTTTTTAAGCAACCCCCGTTGCCGTCTACGTTTCCTGTTAATCCGCTGTTTGTTTGTCGAGGTCATGGCGAAGGCACTCGCGTGGCCTTGCTTGATAAACATTCAAATATTTTGAGCCGTACGCAGGAACGCTCTCAGCATTTAGCTGTTCCGGTCACACTTCCTTTAAGGGACCTCCTTCCATCCCCTGATCGGCCGGAAAAAGCGCCCACTGACCATGGCACGCTATTGAGGAGCACGACGTAGAATGAAGCAGTAATAAATCTCTTCGGTTAAGACGAATGCTTGAGTCGTTGCAGACAGACGCCATCATGTGCGAAAGCGTACACATGCGGCACGGTCCTGCGCCGTGTAGGATTCGTGTCTACCTGCGTTTAACCCAAAAATTTGGCCATGACATTCGTTTTAACAAAACATATTCCTAATTTGCACCGGGCAGTATTTTAGAGAAGTTAGTCCATCAAAGCCTGACGTGTTTCTGCATAACTGCGACCCACGTAACTCTCTGGTGGCGAGCAGTTCACAAGCGGTATAGCATGTACGTGGCCACCTTTACCCAAAATCCGTCTGCACTTTCTAGTGCCGTAGTAGTCGTCGACGTCGCTAGATTCACTTCTGCACCGCAAGGTGCTACAGCCACCGCCATCGTGACCGCCGTACAATAGGAAGAGGATATGTTTAGAATATTGTCATGCGGGCATTTGCTCATCCATGCGCTGGTTTATCCAATACCTTGTACATTCCTGGCCCGGCTTAGTTCAAGCCCGAGCACCTCGCTCCCTTGCCATTTTAGTCGCTGAACCCGGTTTTGCTTGAACTCGCCACTTGACACGATGATCGTACAACTCGGACTCGCCAGTTGAACCTAATTCATCCAGGTTCAACTGGCGCCTGACTCATTCAGGGAGACCGGTTACCAGTCTTGTGCCGTTTCTAGGTCATTCAGGCATGCCATCGAATGTGTTCCACTTACCTGTCCCCATATATGACTGCTCCTCCGTACGGCGATCCATGTCTGCCCGCCAGCCAGGAATCGGAAGCGCGATAGGTCACCGTTCGCGCCATAAGGCTGGATGTGCGGCACCACTACGGCTAATATGTGACCCGTACTTGAACGGGAGCTTACTACGTCGTACAACAATTTAAATGGTTCAAACACAGTGTAAGTCGGCTTTTTCCCTCTTTTTTTGCCTACGTGGCCTAAAAGTGGCCATCAACTGTCTGCTAAATATTGAGAACCGTACGGTATTAGGGCCCGTACCGTACCGTACTTGCCGTAGTACGGTACGGCAGTACGGTACGACAATGCTTCGTTACGGCAGTACGGTACGACGATACTTCGGTTCAGTACGGCATGGAGTTAGTACGGATACTGGTAGTCGTACTGACGTTTTTCTACCCTTTTATCAAATGTTGGTTCCACTTTAGGTCTAATGTACCAACGTTTGACCATTTTATCAGTACTACTAGTACTACAAGTACTAGTACTACCAATGTTTGCCCTGAACTTCAACGTTATTGAGGCAATAACGTAGATTATTGACGCTTTTTAGTGTTATCAGTACTGTACCGAGTACGTCGTTGTACTGAGTTTGGTACGGCAGTACGGTCCCCGGGGAGGGGGGGGGGCAGCACGGTAAGGGTAGGCAAGTGGGATGCCGTTCGTTATCCGTTACGTTAGACGTATCCACTTAAACGTAACGGACAACGTGACGATTGTCTGCCCCTCCGTACGGTACGGAAGTACGTACGGGGGGGGGGGATGGTCAGTACGGTACGGCAGAAGTTGTCGATCTTTAATATCTGCCACTAGAGTCAAATGTTAACCCGAAAATTGTCCAAAGTTTGTTTATATAGCATGATAAACAAATGCTTCAGAGAGAGTAAGAGAAGTTGTCGTAAACCTGGACCGAATTGATCAACTGCCATTGATACGTCTAAGCATACGGATCCTACAGTGAAATGCATCACTAACGACATTGCTCAGAACAGCAGCGCTTAAGCAAAGCACCGGCATTTAATAGTCAGGATGACCTTAAGACTATTAATGCGCTATTGCGTTCGCGCAAAGAACGAGGAAAATTGTCATGGGTTCGATTAAAACGGCCGAACTTACTGAATTTTTGACAAATGAAACCGAGCGCACAAAAATGATAAGCCATGGTCCCAAAATGCGGTTAACAAACGCACAATAATGCAGAAAAATGACTCTTCAAGTGGAAAATGCCCATTTTTTGGTGATAGGAATTAGAGCAGTATAATTTTATGAAAAAAATACCACTCATTTCTTCAAACTTCGCTACTTCAAAAAAATTTGAAGTAGCGTTAACAAGGAATGCACCGCGCTATGGATCGTTCCATTACGTCTGTTCGTCCGTTCGGTGGTATAGCATAGAATCATAGCATTCGACTGCAGATCGAATGTTCCCGGTTCAATTCCGGGTACCCTTTAGCTTGTTTACGTTTTATTTTAACACTTCAGCTCCAGGTCAAGGTCGACTACATGACAGCTACATAGTTGCATCTCCTGTCAATACAACAAGCATGCATTTCACTTTATCTTGGAGGCACTGTGCATTCAACATCTCCCTTGGTTTCCTTCTGGATCCATTTGCAGTAGGCAGTGGCACGAGTTGCGATGACATGCGTGAAGGAAGTGCTATTTGTGACACAAGGGACTGTGACGACATGGCACATCCCGGTGGGTGTTGCAAAAAATTGTTTTTGCGTCGTATAGAACTAGAGTAGGGTAATTCAGTTTCCCTACCTTCTCCATTTTATCCGCTACAATTATGCGAGGGGGGGGGACTAAATGGACGCCTAGGGGTTACTTCCACGTGATGGACCTATCTTGCAAAATCTGTGTTTTAGCCATGCTTAAAGCCCTGCGCACAATGCCGACCCCGAGTCCGAGTCCGAGTCCGAGTCCGAGTCCGAAGCCGGGACTCGAGGTGCGCACAATGAATGTCCTCGAGGTCGACCTCGAGTCCCAGGACTCGGACTCGGACTCGGACTCGAGGTGCGCACAATGCGCGGACATGTCCTCGAGGACGTCCTCGAGGATGGACTCGAGGTAAGATTTGGACTCGAGGTCGGTTTCAAAATTTTTTGACAATTTTGTGAGGACTCGAGGTCGGCTCGAGGTCTGTGAGGCTCATTCTCGACCGATTTCGACGCGGTTTTCGACGCACATACTATTTTTTAACATTTTGGAACTCGTTTTTCATGGTTTCAGCGCATTTTGCCTGCCCCGAAAAAAGTTATGCACGTTCATCCGAGGTACACTTGTTTTCGTCAGGACTCGAGGTGGCGTCGAGGTCTGTAGGCTTCATTCTTGACCGATTTTGATCGGGTAAAGTTTGTGGATGATGCAGAACTTAATTCTAAGTCGAGCAAAGTGGTCCCCGTCTCGATTGGATCCCTCGCTAAAAAGTTATACGTGTATATCCGAGGTTCACCCTTGTTAAGGGCCCACTTCACGGATTTTGTTGTAGATACGTTTTTACGTTCCGAGACATACTACAACCAACTAATATCAAGTTGCTGAGTATGTTGGCGCTCGAAAATAATAATTTAGCGACAAAAATTTTTTTTGATTTTTTTCGGTCGGTAGTGCATGGGACAATGTCCTTCAAAACACAGACCTCGAGTCCTACCTCGAGTCCTGTACACGCATTGTGCGCACCTGGAGTCCGAGTACGGGTCCGAGTCCGAGGAATCGTCGAGGTCGGACTCGGACTCGGACTCGCGGTGCGCACAATGCACATCGAGTCCCGGACTCGGACTCGGGGTCGGCATTGTGCGCAGGGCTTAACTCAGTGAAGTTTTTTACAAACTTATCAGATTTCATATTTAAAATGATATAATTTTCTTGAAATTTTGGTTAAAGACATTATGTTCCATGGCGTCTGGTGAATTCCCGAAATTTCACATTTTCTAATCTAATTTCTCAAGCAGTAAGTATGATTTAAAATGGCAGAAATTACATGCCTATTCTGAGAATATGTGCAAACGACAGATCTTCAGGGCAACACAGCTGCGACAGTAGCTGCAGGAGTGGCGTATCACTTACGATGTGGCGACCAGGACCCGTCGCTAAGGCGCCGCCACAACTGCAGAACCGATTACCTGGAGCTCTTTAATCAGACGGCAAAGAGCCACCTTAAAGCCGTGGAGGTGGCTAACCTTGACGCCGTCAAAGGGCTCCCTTCGATCAACGACGACGCTTTCCAGACAAAGGAGCGTTCCTACCGACTTCAATCCGCGGATGTTGTTCGTTTTGTCTTCGGACCAACGGCAGCTGAAGGTCAGTGAAGCGTCTCAGCTATGCCGTTACACTTAGTACAAGCAGATTTTGCAGCGGATCCACAACTGTGCATCGGTTACAATGACGCTCGTCCACGCATTCTCCATCCGATAGGAGCGGACCTTGAGATAGGCGTCATTGGCTCGAGAGACTCCGGAAAGACGTTGCTCTTCAGTCTTCTACACAAACGAGTCAGAAATGTACACGGAGTTCTCGACAACATGCAGTTTGGTGTCCAGAAGCAGTGTTGTCCCGGACGAACGGTTCGACTGGCTGGCAAAAGCGTTCGGGTACGTGCGCTTGTCGAAATACAGCCATCGATATGACTCTCACCGTACCGTACGCCGTACCGTACTGTCCCAACTGCCGTACTGTACGAATCGAACAGTGTGCGAAACTCGGAAATTCTAAGCAATAGTGTACCGACCAATCCGTACCGGACGCGTGCCCTACTCGGCCCTTTTAGGCCTTCTGCCTCTCTGCCCTTCTGAAAATGTAACCCTGGCAGCCAGGTTACAGCGTTGCTTTGTTGGGCTTTGATAGCAGGAAAAATCCTTGTAGAACGCCCCTGTCATACCGCCCGTAGGTGCTTGTACATTTTATCGGCTTTTCACTTCAGGACCGTAAATTTACAGCGGACTTTAGCACCGGAAAACGACGTCCTGCTCGAATCACGTTTACCGATATTCCGGCGCTACTAAGTACGACCACTGAGGATGCCTACATCGCACCATGGGAAGATGATGTGTACCAAGCTCTGACCGGCAGTGACATCGTCTTCCTCGTCGTGAGAGCCTCCAGTGACCCACCGACGGAGCAGCCGGAGTATTATGCCGGCGACTACGCTAGCGACGATCATTACGACACCTCATCACAACGAGCAGAATTTCATGGCGTCGTGAACGACTTATTCCGAGAACATGATCTCCGAACGCTAACGAAACTGCTGAAGAATGAGCCGTTCAGGTATGCCCATCACCGTCGTAGAAATCTTGGCTGGTGTCATGCCGTACACGTACGTGACGGATGCGCCTGCGTTATGTTACCAAAAAAAACTCGGTACCATATCGACGCAAAGTTCGAGATTGTTTACTCAAAAAAGATTGCATTCAGCACCGTTTTTATTCGAATACTTTAGGAAGCCCGGCACACCAACTGAAAAAAACGTATTCCAACTTTCATTTTGTGAGCCCGATGCCGGCGATACCCAGAAAAATTTTGGCTATGGCGATGTCGATCTCCGAAGATTCCGAAATTTTGGACTTAGTCATAAGCGAACCCAGATAGATGTGCACTTATTGGTATGGGGGGGGGGGGAATTTTTTATATGTTAGAATAGGGTAATAGGATACTCATAATACTCATAAATATGCGTGATTGCTATGGTTTTATGCGTATCTGAGAAGCGTTAAAGCTGGCGTTTTAGACATGTCCACCAGGTACTGGAGAACATCAATGAAACCGTCCGTGGCTACACAAGGTACGGCGAGGTGACAATCACCACCGACACGAGGACTCGTTACCACGACTGGGAGCCCGAACAAGTGGCTGTTCTGGAACGGATCCGGCTCTTGACCTCAAAGCCGATCGTCTACATCGTTGCTGGTGACACAGCGGAGTTCACAAACGTTAGTGTGTCTTCTTAATTTTTATCGAAAGCAGGAAATAGAATCCAGAATTCTCTACACACCGGTAGTTTTGTTTTCGTCCAAAGAACGCTTTAGACAAGCTCCGCCTTCGCCCGCTGCAGGAGTCGATCAAGCAGAGTGATTCGGACGCCCTTATCGTTCCGTTCACCGATGGCGTCGTGCAACATGCAACAGGAACACATCTCGTGGATGTAGCCCAGCTCAGTGGAGCCCGTGCAATCGTCCCGAAAGCTCTGGAGTTTTACCGGATTGGCCGTGTTTACACCGCTAACAACGATCTGGTCGCGGCGTGGACCGTAAAGGTAGGCTTAATATACCATCAACTGAGCCCTTCATGAATCCAAAGGCTGAATTCTGGCTGAAAATCATTTTCCAAAAGCAAGATTTAGAATTTTGAAAGAAGCACGTCAGAAATTTTCAGATTTTCAAATTTACAGACCTGCTCCCGTGATACTAGGTAAGCAGCTTGTACGGTGGGCCGCAACAATGACAGTTCCGGACAAAACCGCGTAAATCTTCGATCCGTTAACGGCCCGTTTTACCCCTCGCCGTTCCGTAATAAAAGGAAAACGGTGCGGAACGGAGTACGGTTAGGTACGGCCCACAAAGTCGAGCCTTGGCAGAGACCGCGTCGGTATTTTTGCAGGACGGGACAACCTTGAGGGACGCGATCGATTTTGCGAACGCTACTCTCGGACCGAATGTCACTGTCGAAGCTCTCAGCATGCGTGAAGTGATCGAAGCCGGCTCCATAGAGGACGCTACTCGTCTCGGCAAGGTTCGCCGACTTGGCTTTGAAAACAGCACGAAGGACGGAGACCTTCTACTGCTCGATCCTGGCGATCTAAGGGGCATCGCAGAAGGTGATTTTCAATATCTTTAAAATTAATATATTTCATTGTGTCGCATTGTTTGCAATGTATCTTTTAAGAGGTTCCCATCTCCATGACAGTGCTCTCGACACGAGCTCTCATGGACGAAGGTACGCGACAAGTACTTGGTTCTGGAAGGTTGAGGCATATTGCGACGTTAGCTTTAAGGTAATGGTGCAGGTGCCTGGATGCACTTTAACGTGGTCCTACTTGCTTTAATCATTGGACTACTGGCAACGTGGAGAAACGGATCTCTAATCAAGCGTCTTCGAGAATCCTTCGACGCCTACCGCCGGCGTCGCCGCCAAGGGCTGCTCGACGTTAGAGTGAGTTGCTACGCGATGCTTAAGTCAAACATAATTGTTTTAGTTTGATGCAGACCACGAGTCGATCGTCTTTTAGCGTCGTTCGACAGTACAACACGAATAGTTTGCCCATCAAAAACCAGTCAGTAAAGTGCTCGCAACTTGAATCCTGTCTAACTCATTCTGAACATCTTTTAAATTAATTCAGACCACTGGAAATGCTTATTACCGCGTTCGTGGCCGTTTGTTGGTTCTGTGCACAAGCCAGCTGCTGACACTGTCCCGTTGCGCCAATGTCGCGGATTTCCAGGTACGCGGC